TGGATTGTTGACATGAATAAGGGTTTTCTTGTTGTTCAGCCCACACAGCCTCGTATCTGAATCTCTACTAACAGGGTTGCAAAACACACTAAAAGATGTTTAATCTTTATATAACAGCAGTAATTAGCCGCCAGCACTGCCACAGAGCAGCAGCACCATGTTTCCCAGCCGCCGCCTTACGCCACGGCGAAGTAAAAGCAAAAATTCTGCGTGAAAAATCAAGTAATAACCAGAAATACAAAGCAGAAATTATTCAATAACATAAGTGTCTGAGGGTAAACGAAGAAGCTGGCCAATTCAACGAATTATTGGTGTTGTTAGTTGCCAAATTTGTTGCATATGGAGGAAAAATGTTGTCGATAATTTTCAGTTTCACGTTTTAATGTTATTATTTTTCCTGTAATTAAAAATGTGGAAATTATTATAAATTATTGGAGACTTATACAGTCCGAATTGGTGCTAACATGTAGACAAGTTGCATGTTTACTGGGTAGCACCAGTATATTGCCGGGATTTACTGGCTGGCTGACTAAATGGGGGTTTGTTGAACCTGAAACCATTCTAAAGCGGAACCGATAACCAGATCGGTGAATTGACAGCCGGGGAAAATGTACCCGACCTATAAAACAAGGCATTTTCCTCGCCCGGCGCTTTCCCCCTACTAGAAGAATTTTTCAGACCACCTATGCCTCGAACCTGCAAAAAGAAAAGAAAACTGGCAAATATTTGCCATTGACTGCAGTTTTCCTCCCAGTTCCCCCTCTCTGGGCATTTCCATGTCTGAAAGCATCTCGCCAACAAGCCAGGATTGATATCAACAAGCAGGTAACTGGGTAAATGTTTAAGAAGTATTACCGTTAGAAAAATTACTTTTTCTTCCATTAATACTATTTTGCACACAAAGTATTAATTTGTTAAAGCTGTAACTGAGAAAGAATAAGCCCCAGGAAAAGAGATTGAGTGATGGGAGGAATGGCTTCTGTGAGTGGGAAAGTCATTAACTTAGCCAAGAAAGCCTGATTATTTAACTTACTTCCACTAACTCAATCTCTTGCAGGTCGGCAAACACAAGAAATTCTAATTCATTTTACTTTTTAGACAACTCTTAATTAGGAGAATGGCTCATTACAGTCAATTATTATGTAATAGCAGGAGCCAGAAAAGTTAAGCATGCAGGGTTTTCGTTTTTGGTTTATGACTTAGTTTAAGTTTCCAATCTATGGCTACAATTTGTATGTGTCATTATTATAATTCTATTTCGGTAAACGAATGCCTTTATGCATATCGTTATACCGATTTTATTGTCGAATTGATTTATTTATTGTTATTATTGAGTCATTATGCAAATGTACTTGGATAGTTCTGGGTAAAAGGAGCTTCAATATGTTTTCTAATTTATGATATGAAGCTATGTACTTTTTGTGGTTCCACTAGAAAGATGAGATCTCTGGATAGGTATTAAGTGGTACCGTCAAGCAATTCAATTGATATTTTAAGTTTTGCTAAAGCTATTTAGGCATTAAGATATCCTTTTGATTACGACCATCCACATTGACGATGTATTTGACGGATTACATTTCTCTCTAGCCTCAATAGTTCATTAGACATTTGCCCTTGCTGCGACGGATCTAACAACACAGCCTCCGATTCGTTGACACCTCGGATGCGCCGACTTAGCTGTGCGGGGTAGCGGGAGGTGTGAGGTAGGACTTGCAGGGGGACAGGTGACGCCTCGTCCTCAACAAACTTCCTCATCGGAACCTTCCAACATCCCATCACATAAGTGCGATTATCGTTGGTGGCCTCGACATTCGCCCAGCATCCATTCTTCCTGACGAAAAGCAAAAGCGCCGAGGGCGAATTTCCTTGTAACCACCTGAACCGGTCTAGACTTTTTGCCACAAATGCGTGGACTGTTAAGAAAAGATCTCAAATAATATCACTCCTCTTCATCTAATCTGCTCCATTTAATATGCTAGAAAAAAACACATACCCATGGAAAAAACAAAAGCAAAAATACAGAAGAAGCAGTTGCTCAATCAGCGGATTTCTACACGTTAATTGTCCTCCGTCAGTTCAGTCTCTGTCCCTGCTGCCTCTCACTTGGCTCTCGGCTGCCTATGATCCGACGTCAACATCAGCCTGGGTGCGTGTCTCATTGTCTTACACCATCAAAAAAAAAAAAACAATCAGAAGAACATGTTTTAAAAAATTTACTTTTATTTTAGGATCATTAATAAATAGTGAAAACAGTGCTTATATTTCTATTAAAAATGTTTTTATATTACTGACAATCATATTCGTGAAAAACAAGCGTTGAAAGTTACTTACCGAATAATGTTTTCTTCTTAAGTATTGTTTTGTAACCCAGTTGGATTAACATTTGACATTACTATTCAATGTTCTAGGTGGTTGTGCGAAGGTGTGAACTGCACGAGTGAGGGTCTTCGGTGAGAGATAGAGAGAAGAGAGAGAGAGGTAGAGATGGAAAGACCAGGTCTCCGGAGTACTTGACCGGTGCAGAGTGCATATTCAGAACGGGTGACTTAACCAGTGCCGCTCCATTCACTCTGTTGTTGTGACTGCAGCGCCTCTTCCACTGGCTTACCTCTTCCATCCCATCTTAGTTCCCTCTTTTGGGGTTGCTTCTTCCCTTTATCCGTGGCCCTACAACTTATCCAACAGTAACTGTTTGGTGTTAATTGCCGCTGCCTGATGCCACTGCAGACCACTAGAAATCCAATTAGAATACAAACTTCACATAAAGGCACATTTGCAATGGAAATTCCTAAATACAAACAGATTGTTCTACACTAGTTCAATGATAATGTCTGTAAGAATTGGTTGGAAGTCTTCAGGTCTGAAAACTTTTGGTAACTCCATTCAGATTGCCATCTTCCATGAAGTGGAATCTGCAGAAGTCATCTTTAAGCAGTTACCAAAAATGTAAGGAAGAGCAGTGGTTGTGTGGGAAACTATATAGTTGCGAAGCGTGTAAATCACTGGCAGATTAGAAAACTTTCAGTGGTTTCCTATAAATTACCAAAACAAATCGTTCAATACGATATCTTAAATTCAAATTGAATAAGAATGGTTGGGCGTTTAAAATTATATTAAGATCTTATATAAAAATCTACAATTGATTTCAAAACAATGTCTTCCACATCATTTTCAAATTTCAATCTCTTGCATTGTGGAATTTTTTTATGGAATGTTCGTTTCCTTTTGCGTCTCTCGAATTTTGACGATGATTCTCTGAAAGTCAATGCTCCCCGAAATGGAAATGATTTTTGTAATCGGCTAAATATGGGTTCACTGACCCCCTCATCATTTTTTTCCTCCCTCGATATACAACACCCCAACACCTTTGTCCAAAAAAAAAAGTGTTCGGCCAGTTGTCGGTCATTGGTGGAAGGTGCGATAAATGCGGACAGACAGTAACAGGCAGAAAGGGCCAAAAGAAACACCCAGTTAAAAGTGGCTGACAACGAAAGAATGTATCCAACAACCAAAGCTGCAGGCATCGAATTTCTTTACAAGACGGAAAAATAAATGGGGGACAAGTCTCTCAGAACAAGTTAAATGAGATCGGAGAGAGTGGGCACTGAGAAAATATTGTGGACTTGACTATTACTCGAAATTCCAACTTAAATGGGATTGTTAAAAAGAATTCCCATATTATCAAAGGAACTTTGGGAAATCTATTTTTAATGATTTTTGGACTATTAAGAACTTAATCAATATATCAATCATAGAATTTTTCTCGAGTGTATAAAAAGAGAATGAGGAGATGCCAAATCAGACGATTAAAGACACGCTTTCACACGTTTTAATTTTGCCATTGTTGTTTTGTTCTGCCATAGTTTCGTCTTTCTGTTTAAACGTATTTCGCCCTCACTTTTTGTTTTTGTTATTTGCTATTTGCGGGTTTCATTTAAGTGCCCCGCTGTACTATTCCCTGTAATTTGTTCTTATTAGCTAGTTTTCGCTCCTTATCTCTGTCCTTATTCTCTGTTTTTTTTTTTTTCTATTTTTGTATGAATACATGTTGGGTGGTGATTCCCCAGCGCCGCCACCCCCTCCCTCCCTCGTTTTCCCACTTTTTGTCGTTTTAGTTTGTTGCGCTTTTGTGAAAATATTTCAATTATTTGTCAAATTGACACTAATGCGCAATTCTGCTTACTGTACATTGTTTGGCTGGGCAAAGTCACCACGAAAAACAACAAATTGCCGATAGGCCTGATTCTGTCAACAGTTCGGAGAGAATAATTTCAATTTGATTTATTTTTTCATTTGCAGATTTCATTGAAATGTTCACGTTGTTTAGCATCTTTCCCATAATCGTTGATATTCCTGGAAATACTATGTGGAACGGAAGTCTTTCGACATAAGTCTTTGATCTATAAATATTTTGATTTGATGTCCATTAAAGCCATGAAACATGTGTTGACTTGTGCGTTAAGTTCTGTACGTTTATCGGCAAATCGAAATGATGAATATTCTTCAACTATTTTTTTAACACTCAAATCACCTTTCTTACAGCTCTGAATAACCTTATCTATCAACACAAAAAGAAGAAAGTTGTGAATAAACTATAATCAATCTTGTGTTTTTAACAATCTTTAAAGTGCCAATAATGAGCTTATCCGCTTTTGTGTGATCTTCAACAGACTATTAGAATATTTCTTCTTATAAACTTTCCTCATTTTAAATTCTTCGAAAACAGATACGTTAAATTCGTGAAATTTCTTTTGATAACCTTAGGTTAGGGCCAGTGTGTTGGGAGGATTGTTTTGTCTCCGCTCTTATCGCAGCAATGAAGTGAATGTTTTTGGATTAACCAAGGAAAGGCTCTTTGCAATCGTGCAACTATTAATTTAAAGGTAAACACTGTGTTCTTTTCAGATAGTTACAAAAACGCGTAATAATTAAACTGAAAAATGCTGAAAGTAGCCTAAAAAAGAAGAAATTGGCTGAAAAGAGTTTGAAAACGGAATACCATGGTGCGACTAGATATTTGCCAGAGCAACACAACAAGCAGTAACAACGGCAACATAAGCAACAGCAGCATAAGCAAAAACCAACGGAACAATAATTAACAATAATGCGGGTGGCAGTTGCTCGTCGACAACCTCTTCAACGACCAGTTTGAATAGTAATCCGGCCTCGCCCGCCTGCACAATGGTGATGTTGCCGGCACCGCAGCAACGCGGTGGTGCAGCAACATCAGCCACAGCAGCTTCACAGCCGCAGCAGTCTTGAGTCGCAGCAACAGCAGCTGCGGCAACAGCAGCAACACTCGCCCCTCAGACGGAGGTTCATCGAATTGCTCGCTCCCCAGCATCGCCGCCTTTGCTGCAGCAGACCACCTGGCACCACCGCCACCAAGGGCCCAGATTTGTACCGCGCCGTCTACGCCCTACACCACCACGCACAACAGCAGCTGGCATTGATGGCGGCCAGCGGCACCATCACCACCTGCCACCACCGCACGCCCTGCACCATGCACCACTGCCGCCACCGCCCCCCGAATCTACCGCCACCCCACGAAAACAGTGCATGGTGGTGGCGGGCCATCGCCGCGGGCGGAGGGCAGTTCCACCGCGGTCGGAGGAGGTGGTGGCTCCCACTCCACCAGCAGCGTGAGCCAGCCTTTCCACGCAGCAGCGGCGGTCCTTCAGGAGTCAGGGCAACGGTCTGAATAACGGAACAAACTGGCATCGCTCCATTGCCCGCCGGGTCAGCTCTATATCCAGTAATCCGGGCGAATCTATCCCGCCGGGCTACTACATCGCACCACGCATCCGCAGGAGGGCATCTGTCCACAACATCCGCACACCATCCGCACCCGCACCATCACCAGCCCATGTGCGCCATGTCTGTGGAATACGGGGTGTGTCCGGTAGCCTGGCTTGGCATTTGTAAATTTAAACTTTTGGCCAATAAATTATCAGCAAAATGAAATTGTTTTTCCTTTTCGCCATTGGAATATTAAAATTAATTAATAAAATAGTTTGAAGATATCTTTAAAAGATTATTTTATCAAATTAATTTCCCTTAATCCCTAAGCCATTAGTAAACTATTGACATGACGTTCCTTTCTCTACTTTCCAACTATCTCACCACAGCCTTTTTCAAAAAAGCTTAAATAATATCAAATCCCCAAAGACAGTGGAAGCCTCTGAGCCTCACTTGCAGCCAGCTAATTACAGTTGAACTAATCCACTTGGCTAAGTATCTCAATTCGTCAAAGATACTTTGCAAGCTTATTCCTTACGATGATGCAAGTTTGCCGAGCTCTTAAGCTGCCAAAAAACTTGGTAAGCGACAAACAAACAAAAATGGGCGAAGAGGGGAAAACTCTTCAGCTAAATATAGATGAAAGCCACATTCAGAGCTTAGCCGCCCGCCGTCCAGCCCCTTTTTCAGCTTTTTTCTGCCGGTCGCTTGCGGTAAGTTGTATACATTTGGCATTTAAATCTGTTAGAGAAGCAAACCTCAACCTCAAACTACCGCCCCACGTCGTCCACCGAAGTCAACAAAGTAAACTTTGCATTTGATTTATCTCTTCGGCATCACGGAATCGCCACCCTCTTCGGCCCCACCCGAAAACACCCCCTTTATAACCCCTTTCTCTGACTCTCACACAGCCAGTCATTCAATATCATCCAAGCAACAAATTAGCTCTGCCACATTGAATGCACTCGGAATTATTTGAATTTCCAACAACAACAGCAGTAAAAATAAACAGAGTAGAGTATATATTAATAGATATGGCAGCCAGTTTTAGATTCGACATCGGCTTAAGTTCCAGTTCCCGTTGACTTTATACTTAGTACATATAAAAGTGGCCACTGTACGCCCATCTCGTGATTTGCCTTTACACAAGGTGCAGGCTTTCTTCTTTTTTGATAGTTTTTGAAATTATTCAAATTGAAAAATGTTTTTGGAGGACACAACAAAAACTTCCATTATGAGCACTTTTTTTTAATATTATATTTTAAATGTATTTTCTCCAATTAAAATAATAAACACCTATATGAACTTATCTAAACAAAGCAATTCACATTTGTGTTTTGGCATTAGCAATGCTTTCCAAACACACACAACTAAAATTGACCATAGAATAAAAGCCAGTCTGACTGGAACTTGAGCTATCATACGATTCAGACCCAAAGCCCAAAAGTGACAATGCCAATCTGTAGAAATACACACTGAAAATACGACAGAAATGTGTCATTCGAGAAGGAACCAGATGAAGACAGTCGACTGAGAGTGTGTTGGCAAAATATATAGTGAATTTGATCAGGTTTGTGCGCAACCCAGAAACCTCGATAACCAACATTTTCAATTTATCAATGTCATTAACCTTAATTGTGGTAACCGGGTTGGGGCTAAAACAAAGACCATCCATTGATCGACTCTGCAACTTGAGACAAGACTTCAATTTTGGTTTCTTTTTGATGTTTTTTTTGGCGTTTCTTATTCAATACTCCGACTTACACTAGACTCCAAGTTGTGTGTTGGTACAGCGCTTGCTTATTGAATTTGCATGTGAGGGTGGGGAGTTATCCACACACACATGCCACCCTACCTCTTAACCCACTAAAGCCCACCCATGGAATGCTTGTCACTTAGCTTGATGTCAACATCAGGGACCCAGCACAAATGCCAGCGAACTGGGAGTATTCTCTCCCACTAAGTTGCACATAATTTACAATTACAGGAAGTGTAAATGGCTTTCCTACCTCCACTTCAATAACCGGACCCCTCCTCCCCCTTAGACCACCAAAGCCCCCTTTTTCGTCCTTTATCCCACGCCTCTGTTCCGCTTTTGCCAAAGCTTCCTTTGCTCATTTGGCCAAATGTCTGCACTGTGGAAAAATAATTGCTACCTATAATGAAAAAGAAAATCATAATTTAAGACGTTTACTGTACACTGCAAGAATCTGTTTTTACTGATGAAGATAAATTTATTTAGGAAAGGTAGAACTCTACGAGCTCTGACTTGCTTTGCTCTTAGAACATCATTGTTCTCATTTTCAACAAGCTCTATATATATTAAACAGTTCTGATTTGGAAATGGGCACTCATTAGATATCATTTTTGTGCAGTGATTTCTTTGACAGTATTGCCTTTTCCCTCAACTCCAATCGACTTTGCCCCTGCTCTGGTGTGGCTTGGCCTGGCCTGATTGTTGTTAATCGAATAAACTTGCAGAGGAAATGGGCTCTGAGTGCGTGCTGGGCCTTATGACTTAGGCAGACTCCCCATGTCCCCTGGAAGTAACCCCCAACCCTTTCGCCCTATTGGTGCTCTAATGGAATTTGCGCCCGGGTCGACATCCACTTACTGTATTGATATGGATGCTGAGCATGTTATAATTATAAGAATGCTATGAGCATGCTCTTGGTTTTACTCCCTTTTTCCTTTTTTCTGGTTTGTGCAAAAATATTTAGCTGAATGAGGTAGATATGGGTATTTCTCAGTAGATACTGAAAGGAAGTACAAAAGCGGGTGGCCAACGGTCACCCCATCATAGTGTTAGTTGCCGGGCCAAAAAGCTCTAATCAAACATAATTTCTATTATTTTATATGCCCACACCCCAAGATTCTTATGCGATTGACCCAAATGAGCACAGAGCAAAAAGAAAACGAAAGGAAAAAAAACATATATATTCTATATGAATTGGAATTGAAGGCTGATAACAGGCACGTGGCTGAAGGCCGTCGTTTAAAGGAAATCAAAGCTCGTGCTAAGTTTTGTACTGTGGAAGAGTAAACAAAGTCTTCAAATTTTGATTACTATTATGTTATTTTAAGTCTTTTGTTTTGGTAATTTTAATTTAATTAATAAAATTTATACACTAATAAGGGTAATCTCTTATATGATATAAGATTTTATAATATTTTATAAAAAACCTGGCAGTTTATCATGTTATTCTTTTGTTTGATTTTGTTTTGTTGAGTTTTCTCTTTTTTTTTTGTACCTTTCTTAACCTTTTTTTTTTTAATAATGGAGAATATGTTTGAGGTTATTAACAAATATGATTCCATAAATACCCAGAAAGTCCAAACATCTTGGGTATTAAGAACAAACAGTCAATGAACTTACGAAAGAAGTAAGAAACTGGAGAGCAAATAGAAGAGGGCGAGAATGGGAAATCTAAAGTCTTACATTAACACATTGTCCAAGATCGGAATCGATGAGAATAAACAGGAAAATCAGGGAGGAAAAGCCATGAGGGAGCGGAAAGCCAGATATCTAGCCACTTTATCCCACCGGCATCCATTTTCGGTTAATCTCTTTGGTAATAATTTTTAATTAACCCACGCATCGAACGCCCTCGGCTTATTAAGACTTATTATATTACGACGGACGAGGAGGGTGAAACCAGGCTGTGTTTGCACTTTTGAACTTTTGGCTTGTCTTCCGACGTTTAATGTATTTTAACCAGATGGCAGGGGAACTAAACGAGCTGTCAAATAAAAATACGTCTCTCCCTCTTCTTTTTTTTTTTATTAATGGATCAAAAGTTTTTACACTGAAAGTAATATATATATATAGAGGAAATAAAGTAATTCGAGTAGAAGGCACCTGCTTGTAGAAGCCAAGAAAACTGTGTCACAAAGTAACACACCAAATCAAGACGAAAAAACGGAAAGAAGGACGAGGGACTTGTGCAAACACTGCTGATAGAATCCACAAATGATTGTTACTTATTATTCCGCACATAAAACGTTTTCTCAGGGTTTTCCCAATGGCCATTTCTCTGTCCCATCCCCGAACAATTGTTCAGGTGAGGCATAAGCAAACATTTTCATTCTGCAAGTGAGGACATTGTCGAAGGACCTGTGTCCCGTTTTGGTGATGTCATATTACATGCTCTTAGCGGCTGAAAATTCCTGTGGGTCTTAAAAAGAAAAGTGCGTAAAATGTCTTGTCAGTGGCTGTCAAACTGTAGGCAGTCAACCAGCCAGACGACAGGTAGAAAAGGCTAAAAGAGAGAGATAGAGAAGCTTTTCGGTATGCGAAATAAATGGCAGCTGCTCTTAACCCTAACCCCTTTCGGCACCTCCACCCCCTTAACCCACCATACACATAAACTTGTCCATTTTTACGAGCCGCTTTGGCGGCACAGATTTATTGGCTTCCTCGATTTTGCTCGATTTTATTGTTGGCCCACGGAATATAACCCATTGCATTTGCATATATACCCACCGACTTTGGCTCGTTGGTTTTATACCAAATTCGAAGGTTAGCCAAAACTCGAAATTCCCCCAATAGTTTGCCCATCTAGCGGCGGAGTTTTATGCCTCACTTTGAAGTGGAGCATTATATCCCACGAATGCCAGTTTCCTGCTTTTCTGTTTGAGGATTTATTTTCGGAGGTTTCCTCTGTAGGGCTTAATGACATCGACGACGATGCTGTCAAAAGTCGCAATGACAAATTGCTTTCGGTTTTGAAAAGTTGGATAGGATGAAAGGCGACATGAGGTTGCATAAATTTTTGGTGGCATCCCAATCTCTTTTGGAAAAGTATTCATATTTTAAGTTTTGGTGATGAACTCAGTCTGTCAACGCCTCCGTCAACAGTTAAATTAGCGTTCTGACCCATATTTTTGCTAGCAGCTCTATTTATTTTTCCTCTTCCCCCATTCTTGGGGGTTTAATTAATTTTCGTATCTGGAGAAACATTTGTTTGTATACAGAGCGAAGATGGCATCGGTATTTGCACTAGCAGACGATCTGAGCTAAAACTTACTCCACTATCAATGTCAGTTTATCACCGCCTTAATGGGCTTTTCCCCAAATCCCCCTATGGAATTTCCGCCTGCATCTGGTTTCCTCATTTAATATAATTTGTTGCAAGTTTTGCGGCATGTGGCACCAGAC